ATACAGTATATATATATATACTGTATATATATATATATATATATATATATTGCATGACTTAAAAAAGGACACAAAAATGGTCTCCTTCAACCGCTCAGAGTATTTATATATTTTTTTTTTCATAGCTACCTGCTGACAATTATTTGTTCTGCCTGTCACTGTTGCCTAGACAAAAAAAAAAAGAGATTCGATATATTTTTTCTGACACCTGATGATCTCTCATGTTTCACGCAGAGGTTCGGAATTACTGGTCTAATAAATATATTTTTAAAAATAACTGGAAAGATTTCATTGCTTTACAGAAACACAGTTGTTTGTGTGTGTGGAAAACGGTCTGCCCTTTACAGAAACAGAGTGTTTGTGTGTGTGGAAAACGGTCTGCCCATGCGCAAAGTTAAATGTCTGTTAATTTAGTCCTCGCGATGTGATTGCGATCCTCCTCAGTTCTATTTTCAAACTCTTTCAAAACTCTCCTTTTTCTCCACACTAAACCTCAGGCTAATCCAGGAGGAAAAGGAAAGCACGGAGTTGAGGGCAGAGGAGATCGAGAGTCGAGTCAGCAGAGTGTCCCTTGATGCCCCGCTTCTTCCGCCCTCAACCTTGGGAGGACGTGACAGTGTCGGAAAAGGGTACATGACCCCTTCGATTACCTCCTCTACATTGGCGTCCCCCTCACCGCCGAGTTCAGGACACACCACTCCACGTCTGCCACATTCCCCTGCCCGGGAAACTGACCGGCAGGTAAGGTCATCGTAGCGTTCTTACAGAAGCTACGTGCATTTTCCGCTGCGTCAAATGAATCTGGAAACTCATTCATTTGGCATTTGAACAAAACATCAGCTGATCTCATGATGGTGTACTGTAAGATATCCTAAAATGCAACAGATCCTAATCATCAGATTGTATGACTTTCTTCACTATTATTCTTACATTCCCATTTCCTGTGCTGTCAACTATCACTCAGTGCCCAGTAGAAATGGATCTAGTTTCTACTTTTGTCTTTCAAAATTAGTCGCAGTCCCTGTGATAAATGTGTTTTTTTGTGCATCAAGCAGAACAGCAAAGATGGCGAGGAGTGCCAAGCACTTGCCCTGATCGACTCTGGCACCCCACCTGTTCCTCGAGCCCTGCGACTGGACCGAATGACGCACACTCATCCGGGGGCGGGCCTCGATGACCACTGTGATTTTCACAGGTACTCGGAAGAAATGTCTAATGACATCCATCTCCTCTTGTGTTTCAGTATTGGTCCTAATATATATATTTTTTTTTTCTTCCTTCATGCTTATCTAGTCTCTCTGCCAATGGGTCCACGTCTAATAGTCAGGATTCCCTGCACAAAGCTAGCAAAAAGAAGAGCATAAAGTCGTCCATAGGACGTCTTTTTGGCAAAAGGGAAAAGGGGAGGATAGGTGCAACTGGACGTGAGTCTGTGTCACTGGGTAAATAGCACTTTTTTTTTTACAATTCCAAAGATATTTTTTTAACAGTAACCAGTGCTCCTGGTGTAATTGGAATATTTAACCTGTTAACCTTTTTTTTTTTTTTAAAGCCTCCACTCCCTCGGAGGACATGGGTTCAGCCGACCCACTCAGTCTGGCCAAACTTGGGACTGGAACAGTGGAGAAGGAGCGTCGTCACAAGAAAAAGTAAGATGACTCATTTTTCTAAAAAATCCATTAAAGCATGAACATTTGTTTGGTACGATTATTATCGGAGAATTGATCAGAATATTACGATCATCACGATTTGTATACGTTGCATATGCATAACGCTATGAATGTGTCAAATCACATAGACACTCCTGGCAAGTCTTCTTTTGACGCCAACGTAACAAAAATATATTCCAACAAAAATCGCAACTGCTCGGTAAACAGTTAAATATATACTATGTATTTCTCCCGGATAAAACAGATGTGAAGGGATATGGGGCCTATATCTTTCTGTAGAGTCAATCACACACAAAATATAATTAATATTTTATATTTAAGTATATATTTATATAGGACCAATCAGTAATCATCCCCCTGTTTAAAATATTAAATATATTTAATATATATATTTAATATATTAAAATATTTAAGTCACATACCAGATGTTTAAGTTTATTTTAATCTTTGTTTTATATATATATTTATATATATATATTTTAAATGTGGCCACATGTAAACGATTGGTTCATTTACTTTATGTTTACAATTACAACGACTAATTAGTGATACATGACACATCTTACGGGACATTCTATAGTGCTGGAAGCACAAGCTAGCCCAACCTAGCAAAGGTTGGTTAAATGTTTCACTGACTGACGACTTTCCATAGCGTTTACTTACACACAGTTACAATACATACAAACGTACTTACGCAACATGCTTTAAATGCTGGGAAGCCGCCATCCGCGACGACGTCCGGGTCGTGTTCTTCGGTTGCCAAAAGAATTCCACAATGCTGTTTGGGGGGAAATGACGCTTCTTCTGGCATTTTTTTCCTTTCGCGGCCACGCCTCTTTTCTGCAATTTGCAGGGAAAAACAAAGCAACATTAAGCCATTAAGTGTAATATCGAGCGAACGCGACATCCCTAGTCGTGATGCATTGCATTAATGTGCAAAACTCTAAGAAAGTTATAAGCGAAATGAAAAAGTAGAAAACACTTTTAAATGTGTTTTGATCCAACACATTATTAGATTATTAGATTATTATTATTATTATATTATTATTATTATTATTATTATTATATAATATTATTATATTATTATTATATTATTAGATTATTAATATTATTATTATTATTATTATTATTAGATTATTATTAGATTATTAGATTAGTGCAACATCTAATCTGGACGAATAGGAAAACGTGTTTCAAAACTGTTTCCAAAATAGCTAGTTTATGATTTTATTCTAATACTGGCTTGTAGTTGACCTCAAAAGATAATGAATTACCAAAAGCAAATCGAAATTGTGTATTAAACAGCTCATAGCCTTGAAGCTTTGAGAACATCACGCTTTCAGACATAAAGTCTTTGTTTTTTTTAATTGGACTTTGATTTATCTATTTTTGAAATTGATTTTAATGCACAATGAAGTGAAAAAAAATATCCTGTTCTCTTCTGTGTTTTCTACTTCTTGCCAGACATGACTTGTTAGAGGAGGCCTGTCGTCAGGGTCTGCCTTTCGCCCTGTGGGATGGCCCGACAGTCGTTACATGGCTTGAGGTACGTCAAGAGAGACTGTTTTAAGTCAGTTCTTTTGTGTCTAGTTAAAAAAACTAGTTAATCATGCCGTAGTGGCGCTTTGGCCCAGAGGCAATGTCTCTGTCATTGGTGTGGAACTCCAGGGTTCACCTCCTGGACAAAATCGAATCCCAGTTAGGGCAGTTTGGGGGGTTGGTACGGTGCAGTGTGATTTGGGTGGAGTTTGCTGCCCCCGCGACCCGGTAACGGATAAGCGGATGAAAATGGATGGATGGATGGATGGATGGATGGATCATGCCGTAATATTTTTTCCCTAAAAATGAGCTTGCTAATATGTTCAGCAGAACGTAGAAATTGACAAATACCGTTTGATCTCCTGAACCTAGAAAAAAAGGTTAAAGAAACTAAACAACAAAAAAAGAAAAATTGATCATATAAAGTGGGTGACTTACAGAAGTTAAGTACAATACATGAAAAAAAAAAAAAAAATCAACAAAATTTAAAAACCCTCTGCCTTTGGTTTTTTTTAATTTTGTTGATTTTTTTTTAATGTATTGTACTTAACTTCTGTTTTAAATCAGCCGTTTCCTTGCGAACCCGAACTGCCAACAAATAATGTCAATAGTAAAGAGAGGGAAAAACAGAGCAAAGTTAAAGGCAGACACAACAGGAGGAACCAGAAATATTCATACTCTTACGTTTTATAAATCCCAGCCCTATTCTGTTGGCATTGTTGCAAATGATCATCGAGGGTGGAGAAAAAAAAAAAAAAAAAAAAAAACAGGTGGAGAAGGAAGGAAAGACACATGAAAAAATAAAGCTTGTAAAACATTAACGCTGTCCAGGTTAGCAGATAGAGAGCACACAGATACGGCAACGACGTGTGAATTCCAATGGGGAAATGTCTCATGCTAACGGCTAACAGTTCAGCATCTCGCCAGCAGGGCCATTCTTTCACTCTTGTGATGCGCCCAGAATTGCACCTGCATCTGTCACTTGCGCCTCTTTCCTTTTCTTAGCTCTCCTGTCTGATCAGATCTGAGCCTGACTCCACCTTCCTTCTGAAGGCATGGGCATAAAACAAAAGGTCGTTTTAGCCTTTTTTTTTTAATGTAATGACCAGTTCAATGTGGAATTCATCTCGAGGCAGTGTTTGTTTATATTCGGCATATTCATTGCATCACATCCCTTTGAAGCAGTCTCCCTTCTCAGAAGAGCTGATGTCAGAATGTTAACAAAGAAATGGATGTCGGGGAGGGTCACCAGCTAAGCTCACCCTAAACCAGAGGTTCCCAAAGTAGTAGCCCTGGGGTATTTAGCATATTGTCCAATGCTGTAAATGTTCGACAGTGCTCCTCAAACCCCAAGTGAGACTTTAAAATGAATGTATCCATGTGTCCTTTGATCATTTACAAAAACTGTACTTACAAATCATAGGCGAGGGTAGGACCGCAGATTGACCGGTAAATCAAGAGCTTCGGCACTACTGCGGCCGCCGCACCGATCCGCCTGTCGATCTCTCGTTCCATCCTGAAAACAACCCCAAGATAAAAAAAAAAAAAAAAAAAAAAAGCCACATTTTTCCCGGTCAACCTATGGTCATAACCTTTAGGTCATGACTGAAAGAACGAGATCCCGGATCTCCCGGAAGTGGCAGAAATGAGCTTTCTCCTCAAGGGTGGCAGGACACTCCCTTAGAGATAGGTTGAGGAGCTCTATCACTCGGGAGGAGAGCCGCTGCTCTTCTCCATCGAGATTTACGTCACAAGCTCTTCCCTCGGGAGATGCTTCGGACATGTCTCACCGGGAGGAAACCCAGGACACGCTGGAGTGACTACGTCGCTCGGCTGACCCGGGAACGCCTTGGGGATCCTCCTGGAGGAACTGGTTGCGGAGAGGGAAGTCTGGTCGTCCCTGCTCAGACGGTCGACAATAGATGAACGGATGGGCTTAAAAAACCATGTTGCTGATTCTGTTTTTTTTTTGTTCCCCATTTCTCACAGTTATGGGTGGGTATGCCAGCATGGTATGTGGCAGCATGTCGTTCCAATGTGAAGAGCGGGGCGATTATGGCCAACCTCTCGGACACGGAGATCCAGAGGGAGATCGGCATAAGCAACCCCCTGCACAGACTCAAACTCCGCCTAGCCATCCAGGAAATGGTCTCGCTCACCAGTCCATCAGCACCTGCCAGCACTCGCTCTGTAAGATGAATAATGTCAATACAAATAACAGTGGAGAAAAAAACAAAAAATGATTGGAAAAAAAAAAGAAAAAAGGATTGATTTGTGTACTGTCTTTACAGTCAACCAGTAATGTTTGGATGACTCATGCAGAGATGGAGTTTCTAGCTACAGCCACCATGCCAGTAAGTTTTGAGTTTTACTTTCAAAACATTTATACAATTATTTATCAGGCGTAGGTATGTCTTTAGGCGTGGGCCACACTCGGGTCCTAATATTTGAAAGGGGAGCGGGTCAGGAGCAGATAGATGGAGCGTTTCTGTGATACTAAGATAAATAACATGTAAAAGTAAAAAATGCTTAGCCTTCTCTACGCCATCTGTAGGGGAAATGTGGGCATTGCAGGGAAAAGGCAGAAATATAATCACAATACAAATCAATTATATCATTTGGACAAGTTTGGCGGGCCGGATTACAAAGCTGAATGGGCCGCATCCAGCCCCCGGGCCTTAGTTTGCCAATGCCTGCTTTGGAGTATACTATATATTATGTAAATATAACTGCAAACATGAAACATGAGATGTTTGCTGTAGTGCAAGAAATACAAAAGATATACATCCAACTTCTTTTTTTAACTAAATAAAATCAACTGCATAATGCAATATAAAAACATTTGATTAGTTTTACTATTTGCATGTGTCACATGTGAAAGCAGTATTTATTCTTGTGTTTTAAAATGTTTGTCTTGTAGAATTTCCAATATCACAACAGTTCACACAGTGATCTTGTTTTTTTGTTTTTTTTTTCTTCCTTTTTTGCTGGTTAGGTCCCTTTCCTTAACATTTTCCTTAAACTCTATATTGATTCGGTGCTTTTTACCAACTAATTCTTACCCACAAATTGGGCTGCAACTGTCGAATATTCATGGAATCAATTATTCTGTCGATTCTTTCTCATCGATCAATCGGATAATCGGATACATCTTTTTGCATTTTTTTTTAAACAATCACGTCAATAGTGTGTTATGCATGACTATTAACATATATATATATATATATGTTAATATATGTTAATATATATGTTAATATATATGTTAATATATATGTTAATATATATGTTAATATATATGTTAATATATATGTTAATATATATGTTAATATATATGTTAATATATATGTTAATATATATGTTAATATATATACAAATTTATGAAATATATACTGTACGTAATAAAATAAAACAAAAAACAAAAAAAAAAACATCCGTGATAACCCGCTAGCTATTTAGAAAGTGAGCTGATTGAAAGATTTTGTTTTGGCAGACAAAAACGCACCTCTGTCCCACACCCTGCATGGACTGATTGCACTCAGATTTTAGGCCAAATTTTCCAAAAACATTTTGACACACGATAAATGTTTTTGCTGAATTGGGCAGATTTGTAATTATCCAACAACAAACGCCCAGATGAATCAAACGAAGCCAAGCCTTTTTTGTAATCCCATTACTCAAATCCATTTTTTCAGCCCTACTCACAAACGAAACTGTTCTACCTCCTGTCTTCCCTGCACCTCCATTCTATACTAATACCACTCACCATAACCCTTAAATACACTTTTCCCCTGATATTTTCCTCTCTTTGCATTTTTCTGTCCCTTCGCTCTTTCACAACTGTTCTGCTTGACACTACAAGGAGCAAAAGGAGTTCAGCTGGGACCAAGTGAGTATCCAGCATCCTCAAAAGTAATGCTGATATGCATGCTCGACTAACAGTACGACTGTACAGATGTATCTAGTCCACGACGTATACATAAATGTTTCTGCAATTGATTATTTATTCAAATTACCCTTAACCCTTTGATGCATGACCCATGATATACTGAGTTAAAAAAATGTTACTAAGTGTTTTTAGACATAAGAATAAGAACTGATTTGGTTCTGTTTTTATACACCACATTTTTCTTTTTGAATGTTGACACAATTATTCTGCAGTTGCAAAGGCTGACCACTGTATGGCAGTGTTGGGTGATTCTACAGGCGTCCACTGTAGAGGCTTATATGCAACACTGCCATCCAAACCTATTCTTATCACAGAAAATGACATTTTAATAGCTGTCCACTGTAGTGACCGTCAGGTTCAGACACTCAGCAGCATGGGTTTTATTACAATGCAATTAAATGCTCTTTAGGCTCCTGCGAGACACAAAAAAAGTCCACTGAGACTATGAATTTGGATTATACAATTTTGTGGATTTCCCTATTGTGTTTTTTTTTTTTAATCGTCCCTCAGATCCTAGCATATGGAGACATGAACCATGAGTGGGTTGGAAACGAGTGGTTGCCCAGCTTAGGTCTACCACAGTACCGCTCATATTTTATGGAGTCACTGGTGGATGCCCGCATGCTTGATCACCTCACCAAGAAAGAACTTAGGGGTCAGCTGAAGATGGTGGACAGTTTCCACAGGTCTGAGAGACCTTGACATACATGATTCCATTTGTACAATTTACCACCATGACACCGTAAGTGACCGTAAGTGGGCTTACTCTGTTGCTTGTAGGGTGAGTCTCCACTATGGAATCATGTGCTTGAAGCGCTTGAACTACGACAGGAAGGAGCTGGAGAGAAGGAGGGACAAGAGTCAGCATCAGAACCAAGGTAAGGCGTGGGAATGAGGACATTTTTTTTTTTTTTTTCTCCAGAGGCAACAGTTCATGCTTTTGCAGAATAAATTCCAACCACCAGTTTCCTGTCGTCAGAGATTAAAGCAGTGTTTCAAAATGTTTAGGCCAAATTTTGAATCAAACTTATTGTGAACTTATGTCAATAATATATTTCAGGATAGGTTGGACGAGTAAATGTTTAGGTTGTATGAGTAAATGTACTATGTAGTAAACTACTATAACTATTATAAATTTGCTGGGATTTTTGTGTTTTTTTTTTCTTCTTTTTTTTTTTAGATGTAATGGTGTGGTCCAATGAACGAGTGATGTGTTGGGTTCAATCAATTGGTTTGAAAGAATTTGCAGAAAACCTTTTAGAAAGTGGTGTGCACGGGGCTCTGTTGGCACTAGACGACACCTTTGACTTCACTGACCTGGCCCTTCTCCTCCAGATACCGAATCAAAACACACAGGTATGGAACACATTCCATTTGTCAGCTACATTTAAATTATTAGGCAATTTATATATTATATATACGTATATATATGTATGTATATATATACATACATATATACATACATATAT